AGTATAGGGGGAGATGATGGAAGAGAGAGAGGGGGGATGTTTTGTTGATATGGGTTTACTGATCTGTGTATTATATATATATATGTGTGTGTGTGTGAAAATGGCTACTTCTTTAACTTGTCATGTGTTTTTGAAAAAGGAGATGAAGTGGTGATGGCGTTGGATTGGATTTGGGTGTGTGTAATGTGTAGTAATTAGTAATATATGAAGATAGAACTCAAACAATACCACCATTCCTACAACTCTACAACTCTGCCCATGCAGTAATCAATATCTAAACAAAGAGTAGAGAATCTTCTCTTATACGGATGAAATATACAAATGATAAGAAAACTCATCTTACAATAAATATATCTTTCCAACATCTATAATCCACCGCATCGTTATGTTGATAATTCGATACAACCTCTTGAAAGAAAATGTAAGATTACTACAAATAAGAAATCATCATCACCAAAGGTAGATTTTCTTACACTTGGGTAATAGAATGGATCGAATTTGTGATCTCAAAATTGATTATTCAGTAGGTGTATATATACTGCCATGTGAATAGCCTTCTCATGAATGAAAACTAAACCCTGATATCAAATCGTAACAGGGAAAGGCATACCGGATATTTATATCCAAGTATAGACTTCATCGTCCTCGTGGATACAAGTGATTAAGAAGGGGAAGGGGAAGGGGAAGGGGGAGAATACTTTACCTACCCACCTACCTACCATCATCTCCGCGCCATCCTGAATACCCAGGTACCCAAGACAAATAAATACCACACAGCAGCATCATCCCCATCATCCGCATCTCAGAAAATCATTCCAAATCCTCTCTCGCGTTCCGAGTCCTGAGTCCAAGCACATTTCCCCTCCTCACCTCACCTCCTCACCACTCCACTTCCCCGCCGCGCCTTCCGCTTGAACCACAAACCGAGGATATCTATCTATATCCCTATTCAAATCCATCTATGAAACGAGACGAGAAGCGGACGCCATGATGCTATGATGCTATACTATTCTATACTGTAGCGTAGAATAGAATAACTAGGTAGAGAATTGATTTATTGTTGTCATGTGTAGATTAGTGAACTATGCTGGGTAGTCTGATGTTGAAGGATTGTAGAGATATGTAGGTATGTACCGAAGCTTGGGGATGTGATGTGCCGTGTGTAGGTAGGTAGGTAGATCTTAGCTAAGATATCAAGCCCGAAAGTGTGCGCGATTCATTGGTATTTGAGGGTCCATCTATTGTATGGAGAAAAGTATTTCTTTCATTTCATTTCATTTCATTTCATTGAAGAGTGAAGATTAACGATATAAAATCAATCCATCCCCTACCTGTGTATCTATCATAAACATATATCCTTTCTTGCTTGCCATTCTCACACACACACACACACCAAAACTAAACACAACCCTCCTCTCCTCTCCTCTTCTCCTTTCCCCAACATCAACACCACAACCTAAACCAAACCAAACCAAACCTCATGAAATGGCCACGTAGTACTCCGTGCATGCATATGCCCATCCCATCCCATGTTTAGATCCGACCAGACTGGCGGGCTCTTCATCTCTTCATCCAGTAACTAAGTACCATTAATCTGCAAAGGTACTCTACACAAGCATATCAACTTCCTGATTCAGAGACACAGACAGGTGTTATAACTTATTATCGATATTATAGTGGAGTGGAGTAGAGTAGAGTAGTATTGGGCTGCCGAGCGCTGAGATAGTAATAGTATGGTGAATCTTACAGGCTTTCTCCAGAGCCAAGGAGAGGTACTTGGGGGTTATGGGTACAGAGATTCTTGGGGGTGGATTATACGAAGGGGTTTTTCTATGAAGTTTGAATTCTGTGATTTCTATCTCTGTGTAGATGTGAATGAATGTGGAACGAGATAGATGTCACATGATAGGATAGTCCACGTATGAGGAACAGAAGCTGTGGTGCGAATAAACTTTTTGGTTGAGTTGCTGCTGTAAAGATACCTGGATACCTAGCAGCCTAGGTAGTTTAGTTTAATACGGAAATGGTTCACAACCATCACATCCTAACAGATTGAAAATTTGGAATGTCACCACCCCTCATGCCCCTATAAAACCTGGAGATATGTCCGAATGAAAACCCCCCAAAGCAAAATGAAAAACGCGGAAAAGTATTCCGAAGAACCAAACTATTCCTCTTACAATACCGAGATTTCCGTGATTCTAATTGTCGCTTCATGCAATGAGCAGGTACCGAGTATGTACATTCTTGATGATTATTAGGATGTTGTCTTTGTTCTTTATCTTCTGTCCATTCCAGAAAAAGATGATATTATATCATATCCTACTTCAAGAATTCGGTACTTGAAGATCCTTTGTTTCGAATCCAGACATGCCATCATATCTTCATACTCCTTCCGGCCATTCTTCCATTGATCCGCAAACGTTCTATTCTTCACATCTCATATACCGGTAGACACTGGATACATCAAAGCGTTCAAAAACATAGAAACCTGGACCTGGACATGCGAGTGGTGGCTTACTTTATTTAAACTTTGGAAAGAACAAAAGGTATTTGTGTAACGTTTTTCTGTCTTGAAAAATACCAACTAACTTCGAAGCTGGAAATGCTTGGGGTACCTAGATATAAGCTTTTCTCTCGTATTGGCGCGGTAAAGGTAAGCTAGTCTGCACTCCGTACATAGTGCAGGACTAGCTGTGAACCCTTGACTCCCATTCGATGTTTGTTACTAGGATATTTGCATTTCTTCCAAGGGGTGTAAGCTTTCGTTGAAATTCGCTATTCGATGAGATGGGGTGCATACTGGAAGACGAGCCTCCGTTGCATTGGCTTCGGTCCATTCGACCCTTTCACAATTAAGATTATGAGAAGGGTCGGGAATCCTCCACACGAGTTGGTTGGGATTAGTTGGGATGAGGTTGGAATCGTGATTATATGCATGTCCTCGACGTAAAGTCTGTCAGTTTTCTGTTCTTTTCGGTGTGCAACTCCCGTATTTTTTCTCTGTTCTTCGGTGTTCCTACGTACGAATGGGTGTACCTTTCCGGGAATCCACCCACTAGTTTTGTTGAATAGATTGGATACTCTCATGTTCAACCGATGCAGGTAAGTAGGGAAAAGCCAAAGGAAAGCCTAATGTATAGTCCTCCCCGTGCAAGTAATACTTATTGCTGCAAATATACGATGATTCCAGACTTGAGAATTAGCATTTTGATGAGACTTTTCTGTCGGTTCTTTAAGGCTTCTATGATTGGCGCTTACAATTCCTCCTAAAGGCCAACATCCGACATGGCATAATCAGGGGTTAGTATACACCCTACCCCGTACACCGTCAACCTGGAGGTAGAAGCACCCGTCAGCTCGGCGACAAAACCATCCTAGCTTTCGATAAAAGAACAACGTTTGACCGTAAGACAGTATCCAGGGCAGTATCCGGGGTACGGACTTAAAATCAAGACTTGCAACCGAGTCAGCTACCATCAAAGTGTTGAGCTTCTCCCGAGTGTGATGGATTGTAAATTGTTTTGGAATCGTTTACGAAGTACTCCGTACATCCCGTAACAATTGCCATCCTTTGCCATTCGATTCTCCAGTTTCTTCTCCTCACACCCACTCGATTCAACACAGACCAAGTTTGATGAGTGGAAATGTGAAAATTGAAACTCTATCAACCCTAGTATAAATGATATCTGATATCACCAGGTTTCCAGATAAGATGGTTAAAGAAGGGGCGTGTGATTCTTGTCTGTAGCTCGATACCCCTTTAAGTTTAGTTTTTCTCCTAAAGGGATTTTTGATCGTCATACCATGACTTTTGGGAAGCACCATGGATAGAAATGTCCCTCGAAATATGGAAACTATGGAAACTATAGGTACCTCCGCAGTAACCGCATTTCTCAACTATACGATGATGAATTTGATGATGCTCACTAATGAATGGTCTTGGTCAAGCCAATTACAAATCTTCAAACAAGGCATTGCAGTATCATTGCAGAATACTCCAGCTAGTATAAGTGAATGTACAAAGTAAACAGGCTGATCTGAGAGGGAAGATGGGTAGACTGCAGGTTGTAGGTTGTAGATTGGAGATTACAGACGATCCCCTTTTGGCTACTTCCCTTTAGCTACTTAGCTTTGGGAAGGACAGATATCACAGTCAGTAGTTTCACCCAGGGATTTCGACAAAATGATACAAGGGAAAAGGGACTCTATATCAGACAGAACATATCGATCACGACCACCTCTTCGGTATCAAGGACAAATGGATGAGGGAGGAGAATCTGGAGACCAAAACATCCCCATACTCCGTTAACAATGGCGAGACACATCTACCAAGACCAGCAACCAACCAAAATCCCAAACCCCAATTCATTTCCCCACAAATGGATATTTTTTTCAATTGAGGATTCATCGTAAATCCGACTCGAGCTAGGTCAAGGATTAACACGATACTCCATTCGGTACATTGTGTGTCGATGGGATAGTTCATTACGAAGTTCTGGTTTTCTATTGGAGACGCAACAAAGACGAGAAGATTGGATTGGTCAATGCTACACCATTTCTTTGTAATAAACATAGGAGACATGACCGCGGTACATACAAGCTTCGCCCCGGATTGTTATGGAGCAAATAAGCAAGCTTCCTTACCCCAAAAATCAATTTCCCCCCCTCCCATTCCCCTCCCCTTCCCCATTTCAGACAGATGTACATGCTGGGGACCTAGGTACCTAGGTACCCTACCCAGTAGCTAGTAGCTAGTAGCTTGCTAGGTAATTCACGTATATATCTCGATATCCTTCTCCCCTCGGTTCCTTGAGTCGGAAATTCGATTTTCTTTTCTTCATTTACTTTTTGCGTATTCACCAAGTGTATTGCTATTGCTATTTATTATTCAACAAAAAGATCAGAGCTGCAATCTTTGGCTCCTACACCACCATATCATACTGACAAATTCGATTTGCTCACGACACAACATATACAAGTCGACAATTAAATTCATCATGGCTACTACCGCCACCTCAAATAGTAATGGTTACAATAAGGAATACACCAGTGAATCTGGTTTGAGTAATACTCAGGATCATGCCCCTATCAATGGAGGAGGTGTTAACAGTAACCCCAATGCCCACGCCTCAAGAGGATATGATTATGGTGGAAACCCATTGGCACATATGAATACTGGAGAGTCCGCCCGATTCCCAGCATTTGGTGGAGAATTTCAACCCGGTCTCTATAAACCTACGACGGAAAGAAAATTCGCCAATCCGGCACCTCTGGGTCTCAGTGCTTTCGCTCTGACTACTTTCGTCCTGTCTCTCATCAATATTGGAACGGCTGGTGTTACCAAGCCTAGTATTGTTATTGCGCTCGCTTTCGGTTATGGTGGTCTGGTTCAACTGCTTGCTGGCATGTGGTATGTAGTTATACCTGCTGAGTTCCTATACATCGAAATGACAGACACTAACCAACATTTAGGGAAATGGCAGTAGGAAACACTTTTGGTGCCACTGCTCTCTCATCTTTCGGGGGATTCTGGATTTCCCTCGCGATTGTCCTCACACCTGGTGGATTCCAGATTGTATCCTCATACCAAACCACCGGATCCGGCATCAACGATTTCAACAACGCATTTGGATTTTTCCTCATGGGATGGTTCATCTTCACAACCATCCTCTTGATTTGCACGCTCCGTTCTACCGTTGCCTTTTTCCTGCTCTTCTTCTTCCTCGACTTGGCATTCTTGTGTCTTGGAGTCGGTCACTTGCGAGCTAATGCGGCGGGAGCGCCTCTCTCTGGTGCAATCAAGGCGGGTGGATATTTCGGCTTATTCGCTGCTTTTATGGCTTGGTATAATGCTCTGGCTGGTCTTGCAGATGATAGGTATGTTGCCCATCCCTATTTCATCGTCGATTTATCAACTGACATTAATTCTCTTCCAGTAACTCCTTCTTCGTCATCCCAGTCGCTCATTTCCCATGGTCTGTCAAGGGCCGCGAACGTCGCAGCAAGACTGAGCGCGAAACAGTCTAATTTTCTGAGGAGGAGAATCTTCTCTTCACATACATACACATACATTACTAAAAGAATAAATAAACATTTTACGATATTTTCTGGAGATGGAGATGGTGGGTTTCATGAGTTGACATGTTTGGGTACTTGGATACGGATAGCAGAGATCGGATTCAAATGATGGATGGATAGTTTACGATACTAGTGCGGATGAACAGGACGGCATACATGCATGTATGCATGCGTATATGTATGAATGATGGATTGGGAGATATTTTCCTGTTTTTCTGGAACACGAGGAGGGTGACCTTGTTATGTCATATGATATTGTATGATATGATTTGATATGACTGATGGCTGCGAGGTCGGGACAAGGGAATAAGGAATATCGAGTTATGAAGTTGACTTCTGACTTCATGTCTTGGGAATGGAATGGGGATTCGATTTATAGAGATTATATGGATTACACGGATTATAATATTACCTTTTAGTGGTCTTTTTAATACACAATTTTGTTCTTGATGATGGTTAAGAGGTGATGGTTTTGTATATTACTGATTGATAGGTTTAGTATGTTTGTATGTAATGTGTAATTCTAAGAATTAAAATGTGATGGAGGAGTATGGGAATAGTACCATGGTTTTTATTGCTTCCTCCCTCTCCCTCCCTAGGTAGATAGGTAGGTAGGTAGATAGGTTTATATATTTACCTTTTGTAAGATCTTTTCTCTCTCTTTTCTTATTATCATTTATCATCTATCATCTATCCCGTCACCCTTCATCTCTTCGTCTCGTCTCGTTCCTATCTCCTATAATGTGATATAGTAGTAATATCTCGCTTCTATGATTTAGCATTACGTATTACTCGGTATACTCGGTACACTCATTGTCTGTGTTTGTGCGTCAGAAGTGCTGATGAGGAGTTTGAGTTGGAAGTTTGGAGTTTAGTGGATGGTGGATGGTGGATAGTAATTGAATGGGAAGATAGAGAGGGGAGGTGGGAAGGTGGGAAGGGGGAAGGGGCGAAGGAGGGAAGGAGGGAATGAGGGAAGTGAGGAGTGAGATGCTTGGGTATTGGATGGGATGTTGGATACTGGGCACTGGAGTGGAATCTATTCTGTGAGACTTTTGTGAGGTTTTTGTGAGGGTTTTTGTGTGTTATGTTATGCTGTGTTGTGGATGATATGAAATGGTATGAAATGGAAAGGTGTGAAAAGACTTAGTGTGGTTTGACATTGTGATATATGGTAGGCTAGTTTGTATGTTTGACATGTTTCGAGCCTAGCGATAATATCATCCGAAGGTCTGGGTATGGCGTAAGAGAGATGCTTTTTGTACACTAGGTTACATCGATGGTTAGATGGGAAGATGTGTATGGTTGTGTGAGGGGGTGAGAGTGATTATATGAATTCAGATAATCATAGGCGAGTCTTTCAGCGGAGGCTGCAGAGGGTTTTCTATTTGTATCTGTATGTCTATTCCTATTTCTTTCCGATTTCTATGCACACGGACTCTAAAACAACGCGGTGTTAACTCGCCCACAATGATGATATGAAGGTATAAAAGCGATTTTATAATATACATTGGGAAAATCAATCGGAACAATCATAGGGCTTTGCAGGGAGCGTGGGATCACAAGGAGTCCCGCCACAAGGAGTCCCGCCTTAATGTCTGTACTCCTAGGCACAAGCACTCTAAACAACGCGGCGCCAACTCTCCCACACAAATAGTCAAGGGGAGTTTATCAATTCTACTTTAAAGTTTCACTTCATTTTCTAAATATCTACTACATAATATCTCATCATATCCAAACCCTCAACCCCCACACCTTCGCCTTCCTTTCACTACTATTCATATCTAATGAGAATCGAAAACTACCCAAGTTCCCCAACACAAAGATATCAAAGTTTCAGGAAACTCTCAGTGGGGGTGGAGATCGAGACAGCGGTATTTTGGTACTCTCAAACCTTGGAGGGGGGAAATGAACACTGGTGTGGTTCATTCGGGAGTGGCATAAGTCATCTATGAAATTGACGCAGAGGCTGTGATTATTTTGCTCGAAGAAAGGTATCTTTTGAAAGGGGAGGTTAAATCTTCATTATCCTGTAACTTCTCGTCTCTCCTGGTTCTGATATCATCGACAAACACATCAGTGGCGGCATCCATAATCACCACCATATCTCCATTGCGAAGTTTGTCACGAAGTGCATTATCGAATGGACTGGTACTATTGGATGGGTCAGACCGTTCAGCTACACTTGTATCGATATCTGTAGCACCTAGGAAATGGAGATCGGCATAATGTTTGTTCTCGTGATGTCGATGTACTGTCGTGAGGACATTCATGTTTTGAATCTTTGTGAGTGTCATGAATCATGATTCAGTTTTCTCGTATTGAAAGTCTTTGTCTAGAAATTAGATGTATTGAGGGTGCTAACGGCTATAGTGGTTGGAGCAACGCTCGATGGCGACATGAGCGCTTTTGCTACGATTTCGAGCCAGTGGCCCGGTGCTACTTTTCGATAGTGATTTGTCCTTCTTGAACGGCCTTTAAGACGGTAATATTACTAGCACGAGCACGAGCAAACCAATGAAGTGCGGCGAAGAGGGCTCGATGTGATATGTTCCTGTTCGTGGGAATGGTCAGTCAGGCTACATAGCGTGTATCATACATAGATGGGTGTCTCTTGAATGGCCATCTTGATGAAAGAGGTATTGGCAGCTCCTAAATGAGGGGTTTGTAACATGAAGGTGCCAAAAAATCGAAAGACTTTCATGTGTTGTTGATGGTGATGGCGGTGGCAGGAGGTCCAACAGTCCGGACTGCAGTCCAACAATGAAGATTTCCAAATCTCCAAATCAATTAGAACATTCAAACCATTTGAGATGTTGACTTTGATTAGAATATTAAAATATTCTCAGTTTTTCAACTGCTTTTAGACATTCAAACCTTTATAGTTTGGACTGCAGTTCCGGATACACTAGGCCGTGGTGGTGGTGGTGGTGGTGAGAAAAAACATCGAAAGAGGGAGAAGGTAGCACACGAAATATACAATCTTAAAAGAATGAATGAAATAGTTGAATAGAGCATTTATTAGATTGAATCAATTGAGGGCTTTTAGAATCTGTCACTACTTTTAGAGTGAGCTCTACGATAGTGTTTGAATCAACTGATTAAAGTTCGAAAGGATCATTTGAGATGTATTCATGAGCAGATATAACGACGATCCTGGTGATCAAAAAATGATTGTCACCTTTGAGGAAAAGTTTCGCATATGATCATCGAGCAATCAGTAAGATACATCTTCGCAACGTATGCCAGGGGAAGATCATAATCAACGTGGTGACCTGCCTTTTACTACATGCATAATGCCCTTGGCAAATTTTGGCCAAATAAGATAGCAAATATCCCCAAAAATGTAGACAAGCTCAATTAGATGGTATCTAAAGTAGACTTCTCCTTATGTGGAGTTTGTCTTGTAGCATGACCACTTCTCATCATTCCATATCTTGCCAGCCGTGCGATAAAAAGGCAGCAACAATCGCGGGATGCAATGTCACTTGCTAGAAGGATTTATGTTCATATACCTACAAAGTTTCACATAACTTCTATTAAATTTCTCAAGAATCACCCCCAAATTCATTGGTGAATCCCGGCAGACGGCGCCAAGTTCTAAATTGTTACTAAGCTAATATTGTATAACTTATTGTAAAGACCAATTACTATCATTCGATCTTAAGCGATGCATACCCCTTACTATACTTTATCCTCCTAAACGGAACACCCATTTACCACAGAGAATTTGCTGTACATAATCCGAAATACTAACTCCTTGCAATCTGAGTGATGTTTATACAGCGTCATGTACAGCATGATAAAAAAAAATGCACGTGTGAATTATCTGGCTGCACAAATTTGACAGCTTTGAATGATAGTTCCGAAATCCATCTAATTTGTATAGTAGCGAGATGTATTTTTCTTTAAATAATATCACCGCACAAGGATATTTGGACCATTCACAACGTATTTCGATTCGAGAATCTAATACAAAGCTACATACCATTATCAAGGGGGGAATTGCTCGTGTTCTAGGTCAATCTTGATGCGACTCGGATATGGATTTCTGGTCTCTTTGTAGAGGTTGTGTTTTGTAAGCAAAGGGCCAGCGTTGACAGATTGTAATCTAGAGAAACGAAATTATCATTCGCTCAAGAAGAAGTCTAGCTCATTATTCTTTTTGCTGTTTTGCACTCATCATGGAAGAAGACTCCCTCCATGTAGTCTAGTGAGTAGTCTAGGTTTCCCGTAGACCCACTTCGGGACTTTTCGATTTTTCGGGGGTGATATTTAGCGACTCAAGAGTCACATCTACACGCTAGACTTTCTAGTAAGATGGCCTTCCAAGACAACTAGACAGACGCGGAACTTCTTGTTCGCAACTTGGTGTTGAATATGTGATGTGTCAGTTGTGATATGTCAGTACTAGTACACACGCTAACATGCCCATCTCTACGAGCTATACATACCATAAGGATTTCCTACAGTCAATGATGTACATTCGCACATCCGTTCCAATATATGTAGATCAGTCCAACTTGAAGATGTTAGTGATATGATTAGTCCCAAGCAAGGTCGACTTTTGCATTGGAGATTGGATTTATTGGAGCAATGCCACAGCAAAAACATTCAGCGAATAAGACACAGCCATGGTAGCGATTAGAATTCTAATCATTATTCTATATTTCGAGTATCAGTACCACCCCTGTGTTCAATTCTCTTTCCTAGGGAATCTCTTGAAGTTATCACAGTTTGATGACACTGACGGTAGTACAATGATGAGTAAACTATGAAACCTAGCGTTATTAGCGTACCACTAGTACACATAGTCAGTTGGTAACGTTCAATAACTAACTCATCAACCGGCACTTATTAGTTGGCTAGTTTTCTAGGGTTTTCTTATGATATAAAACTGTGCTCATGTCAGATTTTTCTACGCCTACAATTTTTTCACAATTCTTTTACAATTTGATGTTTCAGGGGCTCTAACACCATTGATATCGCTTAATTCACATAAACATACAGTCGCTCGCTCATTGTGATTATTAAGAATTGAATACAGCAGCTGGATCCAGTGTATGCTCGTGCTATTCTTCTATCCCAAGTAGTTGTGACAATTGGACTTTATAGCACCTCAAATATGTCCTTACTACCACAAAATATTTCAATTTGACAACTTCATCGGCAGCAGTGGGTTCCATATCCAAATCTGAGTATTCACATCGACAAAACAAGACCCTAAAGCTGCGTAACACCACTTCAAGGAATCAAATCACTCAATTTATTTGCATACTCAGATAACGGAGAGGATGTCTGCTCCCTGGGACGTCGTGTTCAATGAAGAGTTCGATGAGAACTTTGGGATGGACCTATATGATGAGTGCGAGAAATACTCAAAATTAGTATGACATTACCCCTTTGTAATACTTGAATGACACCCTAACATAGTCATTATAGTATACTATATCGGATCTCGCAGAACTTGATGGCTTGAACCAAAAACTTTCGGATGATGACAACGAAGACACCGAAAGCTCTTCATGGGACAGCATGCCAAGTCTCGTTTCTGCTAGCGATGAAGGGGCAGATTGTTACACCTCCGACTACAACGATGAGATTGAGTGGGATACCGTAGTTGATTTTTGGCCTGTCTCCCAAAATGAAGGAGACCAAATGGGTCAGGAAAGTGGTCCCCCCATAGACTGGGACTTTGAAACTTCCAATGGTATGTCCACACATTCCAATCTTATTGAAAACCATGCTAATTATTTCAGAACCCATAGAACAAGAGCCATTATTCAAGACCATCATGATCGATACTCCTGAAACCTTTGACGAGTTCCTGCCAATTTTGTCACAGCTGATGGAAGACGTCCCAGAGCTCGGATGTGACTGCGAGGGTGGGAAGACTTTTGGTCGTATTGGAGTCCTTACATTTTTCTCAATGTCAATTCTTTCTCGGAGAGAGACATACACCATAGATGTCTGGGTGCTTCTGAAACTCGGAATACAAGTCTTCGACCAAGAGAATGCAGAAGGGCTGTCATTAAAGAAAGTTTTGGGATCAAAGAAATATCTACAACTTTGGTTTGATGTTCGACAGGACTGGGACACCCTGTATCACTTGTTTGGAGTTACACCAGGAAGAATTATTGACCTCCAATTGCTAGAGTTTCTGTCACGCAGAGGTTCAAAGCACAGTATTATGGGATTATTTAGAATCATGAGGGATCATGGCAGGGCTTTCATGAGCAGTGAAGAGCATGAAGCTTGGTTAGATGAGAAGGAAGAAGGTCGTCAATATTTCAGCGGCCATAAACTGGGCTATGGTGTTTTGGAGGAGGAGCGGCCTATTAGCGATACCACCAAGAGGTACATTGCAGGCGATACGGATTGCATGTTCCATTTATACTTCCATCTCAAGCAAAAGTTAAGAGATTGGGAGGAGGAAATGCAGATAAGTATGTCCGAGAAGACTACCGAGCCTGCAGCTCTGGTCGAGCCACGTCTCAGAAAGGATTGGTTGACTTTTATTGAGGAGCAATCAATACTCAGGGCCGAGCTCGCAATGGCCCCTGAATATGACCCCAATGATGAAGTTGGGAAGTATAGCGCACCAGAAGCACTTTTGGAGATCTCACGACGACAGAGTGATCCTGAAAGAGCTGCTGCGAGGCGTGCCAAGGAAATTGAGTGCTCATTTTTAATTTGAAAGATCTAGTCAGCGATTATATGAGTGTTATATGAGGGAGTCAGAAACGTAAATGTTTTAATTGGATATTAATAGGATATAAAATATCTACCAGATAATGATTTGTTGAAGGATTATAATGATATAGCGTGTTAAGTCTCTCAAAGAAATAATAAATCTAGATTCTCAATTATCACTGTTTTTACAATGTCTATGGGTGAATTATATATATATCTGCAATGTACAATACTGTCTAATCAGATACGCCGGTGCGGCTTCACTCATCGACAATATCATGAAGGAGACCCCTGAAGTTACCCTGTGAAGCTCACTGTAATACACATACATATAATCAATTGATACCGTACACCCGCAAACCATTCAATACTATATCAAAATCCGACCATACAGCGGATCATATATCATCAATATTGCTTTATCCACACAATTATACGACTCGCTTATCTAGTAAAGTGGTCGACCGCTTGAATACAGCTAGCCAGGTTTGGTACATGGCTGAACCACTTGTTAGTCCAAAGTAGTTATAAGGATTAGATTCTCCTACAAGTCAACATATCTCTTGTTCACACAACAAACTTGACTTTAACAGCTTTCATCAAGCAGAATCTTGTACTCTACTTGAAGAACTATCAGCACGATCCGCCTACAAACATCTGTTCATCATACCAACATCACCTCCTACCAAAGACATATCGCTGAGTAGACAGAGTATCGCACAAACATGTCTATCAAAATCGAACAAACTTTCCAAGCAGGATCTCTCCAAGACATGCAACATTCGGTTGAAACATTCGATGAGAATGAAAACAACCTCGACGACATCTCTGAGTCAAACTCTGCATCAGTATGTTCCTGTTTCCTACTCTTATTTACTTGTATACTAAGCTATTACCTTTAGGACATAGAATACAATCCCTACCTTCAGTGGGCGCTTTCATGGTCGGAATACGTCGAAGAGATGTTAGCCGAAGAAGAGCAGGATCTTTCATCAAATAATGGACATTCCAGCGACTAGGGGGTCAACGTCTCTGAAGTTGATTGGAACGCCACTCCTACTTCAGACGACTCCTGGCCTCAGTCAGATGATTCATGGGAGAGACAACCCACGATATCATTTGCTGATGAATACGAAGCACGAATGGCTGCGTTGGATCAGGAGGCCGAAGACGCTCTTAACACAGGTGCGAAGAAGAGCCCGGATGCGCCCGCCCCAGTCATCTTTATCGATACACTTGAGAAGATGGACAAATTTCTACCTGTCCTCTCTCAACTCAAGAATGGAGTTGAGCTTGCATTCGATTGCGAAGGCACTCCGGAAGAGGACGAAAATGGGAAGCCTATCCCAGGCGGCGGCTTTGGTCGCACCGGCGACATCTCATTCCTGTCGATGACTGTAATTTCAATCGACATAACCTACGTCTTCGATGTCTGGGAGCTCAAGAGAGCTGTTTTTGACCGTCAAAATAATGATGGTCTGACTCTCAAGAAGATTCTGGAATCACATGACCGAATTCAGCTCTGGTGGGACGTTCGCAGCGATTGGGATACCTTATTCCATAAATTTGGAATTCAAATTGGGAAGGTTCGTGATGTGCAGCTAATGGAGCTTTTATCTCGGTCGGGCCGGAAGTCAAACATCTTTTGCTTACACAAAGTCATGAAATGGGAAGGCCAATGTATCATGAGCCCAAATAAGCTGAATGCCTAGTTAAGGGAGAAAACAGCAGGGGGTGCATACTTCCAGAGAAATGGCTGGCGACCGCTTACAATCAGACCATTGACCAGAACTGCCAGAAACTATATCGCTGGCGATACTGAGTGTCTATACGGCTTACATAAACGGATGCTTTATAAGATGGAAGTTTGGCTTGAATTGACACAAGGAAAGACTGTCGGAGGTCTAATGGATGCCATTGGGAAGTCATCCACTCTCCTAGCGACTATTGACGACTTAGTGCAATTCATTGACGAGCAGTCAATGATTCGAGCTCATGATGCGACATCTCCAGGGTTTGACTCCCGATCTCGTGAGGGAAAGGCCGATGCACCCGCGGCATTTCTCCGAATAACCGATGCTTGGGAGGAAAACCAGGACAGAATTTCGATGAGACAGGAGGAGTACCGGATATTGTTCCAAAACCAACAATCTATGGCGGTAGACTCTTGAAGGAGGTCGTGAATTCATTAGAGAAACCGACTTTGTGGTGACCAGGGGCATACATTGGCTTGCTAAGTGAATATTTTAGAGTCTAGCGATAATATCATCGTGCTAAGGACTTTGCAGAAAAGTTACAGTACAGCAAGCATAAAGGGGGTTTTGTTTCTCTACACTGCACTACATCAATCATCAAATCATTAACTACGTAGGAAATTTATACAATAGTACTACAAAAATGATAGCCATTGAATAATATGAATTGAGATAATTATAAAGCTTTGAAAGAAGGGGGATCATAAGAGGTTTTCCCCTTTGTGTCTGTACTCCCCTTCTGACTTTCTGGTATAAGAGCTCTAAAACAACACGAGAGCTCACTCAAAATAGCGCAAAGAGCGTTCACTTTGAAAGACTAAATCATTTGGTTATATAGTAGTTTATGTGGTAGTAGTGTGTGATAACATAACTCAAAAGTTGTATTAGTATCAGACAATGAGCTCTTTGATTTGGAGGATGGGAATCACAAAGTTTTTCCTCTTTACATCTGCATTCACACTCTCATGTAAAGGGGCTCTAAAAAAAACGCAACGGTTCATCCACTAGGGCATGAGAGATGTACAATACTGACAAGAATTTGGTACTCAGGAAGCAAATTATCCCATAGGCATTGTAATTCATTTGTCAAGGGCTTAATCAATATCAACCGAATCTGATGACCCTGAATATTCAAATGATGATGCCTTCAGTCATGACCAGCTTGATAATCTGTATGAGTGAATTTTATATATACCTGCAATGTAAAATACTGTCCAATTTCCTTAGGGTCCGGGTGATAGGTAACTAGTTTTTGTGTGTTAAAATTGGTAAAATTATTAAGATTTGTCAGCCTAGCATGAGACAGTGCTAACGACCAAGTCATAGGGCTTAACAACTGGAAGCTCCTTGACAAGTCAACAGACACAACTTCACAACAAGCAGAAACAGTATCCCCTCTCGAAAAAAAAGGTGTTAGCGAGACTCTCGTTGTGTACTCTTCATACCCCTTACAATCGTTGTCTGCATGGATTTTAAAAGCAAGATCGTTTCCGAGAGTTATACACACTCAATATCACCATGTCTGAAAAGATAGATTCTTCCGAGCTTGTCCATCAACATGCTGGAACATCATCCAGTGCAAGTGAGCAAGAGCTCGAGGTAAGTCAACAGAAATAAATGATGCATTCTATGTGAAATTCACATTTGAACTGCCCATACTAATTATTTGGTACTTGTAGGTCCCATTGCCTCAACAAGAGCACATCGACCCTTTGATTCTTAGCAACATTCAAGCAGATGATAGCATTGACAACAACGCCACTCTTGCAGTCGGTTGGCGTTCATCTCCAATTGTGGAGAACCAAGCAGATACGGTAGCCGCAGATTGGTCTGGCACGAACAATGATCCCCAAGATGATACGGGACCGACCGTGGTTGCCTCAACAAATACAGCAGCCGAAGACTGGGATGATGTACCAACCACGGATGATGGATCCTGGGAGTATATGCCAGCTAGAGAAGCTACCTTCACAGAATCTGGTAAGTAGTTTCTAACATTCATTGCCCAAAAGCTCTGAAACATTTTCAGTTCCCAGCCCGTTTTCAAAGTCTAATAATGTTTTAGACAAGCGTTTCTTTCTTATAGACTCGGTTACTAAGATGAGTCTGTTTCTTTCGGTGCTATCAAACATCCAGAATAGCTGGCGCCAAGAACTTTTTTGTGGCTGTAAAGGAAACGGAGTTGGATTATCGAGAGATGGAGCCATCACTTTCTTTACGATGACCATTAGGTCCTTGAATACGACATATACCTTCGACGTTCAAGTCCTAGGCGACCAGGTGTTCAACATGGTTGGTAACAATGGTTTATCATTGAGGATGATTCTTGAATCCAAAGAATTTGGACAAGTTTGGTGGGATGTGCGAAACGACTTCGAGGCGCTCTCTCACCATTACAATATTCATCCACACTTCGATATAGACCTTCAGCTTCTCGATATCATGTCAACTAGAGGCAACAGAGCCAAGTTAAATGGCCTGATAGCCTCTGTCCGCAAAAACCAAGCCGGCGATTCGAGAATGAATGACCTAACTATGTGGCGCGGATACAGTGGAACATGGAGCACAAAGAAGAAAGAAGTGAAAGATTATCTTGACTGGAATGGCTTTGAGGCGTTGGAGATAAGACCAGTTCACCCAATCGTGATTCTGGGTTGTCGCATCGATACAGAGATTCTGCCAGAATTGTTTGATCATCTACTGCGACGTCTTTGGGAGACCACTAATGAAATGAAGATGGGATCTCCAGAGCTATTTTATAATATTGTTCGAGAGGAATCCTGGATCAGAGCTCAGGCGGTATGGTCAAGAGAGAGCTCCAATGTTTACGTCTCTGGTATCTGCCGAGAGATCAGAAATCATCCTAGGACTCGGTCACCACCAATCTTTACGATGTTACCACAAGTAGTCGCGGGAATTCGAGAGGATGAGTTTATGATCGGTTTTGAGTAAACTATGGAAGAGATGAAACAAAGTGTTGTTCGGTGGCGATGTTGAAGCTATGTAATTTGCTTGGCGAAGAATGGGCCACCCCGACGAAAGTTCTAGCCGGATTTCAGACAACGTCGTTTATGGGAATACTGTGGTGTTTTTGGACAATCAATTGTAGCTCGGGGCAGATATAAGAAGTACTTCCAGGAGGTGGTAGATAGTAGAATCAAGTATGGCATGCTGGCATGTCGTATTCGTGGTCCTTAATAGAGTAGATTTAATATTTGAAGAACGCGAATGTTCGATATCAGCATCTTCCACAAGATACAAATCATGTTCATAGTCCATGAAACTTCATGGGGTTCCGGTGCTTGCTACTCTGCGCTTGATCAAAGAAACTTTGTAAAAACAGAGACTATTGGGGGTTTTTAGTGCAACCAATTGAGCCATTTGATAATTTGCCATACATTGACTTGGCATGGAGCATGCAGTTATCCAGAGCCGGCGAGCTCGTGAGTCCAGTAGTTTTAAAATGTAACAATAGAGGAAGAAGGTCGTCCCATGAAGCTCAGTTGACAACAGTACATTGTTAAGCTATAGAAACAGTAAAGGCAACAGCAATAGCATAGGAAAGAGAAATGATCAAGTGGTTGTGTCTGTTTAAACCAAAGGTCAATGTCATACTCAAAGCTCAAGCATCGATACACGTGCGATCTGCCGTTCTGTAAATCATTAGTGGATGTATGTAGACTTGAGGAACACTACAAAAATGGATTTAGCATTCTCACCTGAAATCTCAGTTTATGAGATCTGGAAATTGTTACAATAATTCATTAAGAGTCAAACAATGAAAAGATAGATTCTGATATTAAAATTTTGAAAGTTGAAAAATTTCCCGTCAGTCCATGCACATACCCATTGGTGAATCAAGCTAGCGCGTCTCCTCGCGTAAAGTGGCTCCATCAATGTCGTGTTCCAGCCTTCTCTAATTCTTTCATCAATTCAACATCAACTTCCCTTGTCCTGTCCAATCTATCAATTCCTTTTGTTATCGATAGTATCAAGTTATCAACTCAACTCAGCCTTATCCCACGACGTCAATAATCAAAATGTTTCTCAAGCGCAAGCGTTCCGAATCCGAGATCTCAACCACTTCATCTCTCCTATCCAGTCCTCTACACTCCAGCAACTCCAATTCTATGCATATTGATTCTCCATCAATAAGATCACCGAATCTTTTCTCCTCTCGTACCAGGAAGCGTCATAGAGATAATCGACCAAGTGAAGACACCGTCCATCGTATGTCCTCTAACAACCCAACAGCTGCGCGTCAAATATTAATCAACTCTACAGAACATACCCTCTCCCTCCTTTATTCAGCGCAGCAACCTTCAAATATAAATACAAACTGCATGCCACCGCCCTCACCTTCCGCAATCTCACCTCACACCATAATACCTAACCCACCAAATAACGCTCCACACCAAGCCTCACTCCACTCTTTCTGGCAATTACCATCAAACCGTCAAGTTTCACCTTCCAGCGATTCATCTTATACATCATCCACATCTGTTTCTCCTAAAACAATCACACATCCTCACCTAATACCGACCAATTGTGAGGACTGCGATGCATCACTAGCGAACACGGAAGGGGGTGACGAAATGGATGTAGATACTATAATGGATATTGATATGTATGGAGCAGGAGAGACAAATCATGCATGTACGAATTGTGGGAAACAAGTTTGTCATTCCTGTGCTGTGAGTAACTTAGGAGTGGAAAGAAAATGTCTACTTTGTGCTGGAAGTAATAGAAATGAAAGGAAATGGGTTGGAGGCTTGGGGTGGATGAATTAGAAGTGGCGAATTGAATTGGAAACAAAAGCGAATACCCGGCCTGCGTTTAGTTGAAGAATTTGGACGGATTTTCCGTTGTTTATTCTGCTTGGTTGTCTACAGCTTGGCGTTAAAAGATATGGAGCGGAGCGACTTCTCTTTTATATCAGGATATATTTGTTTCCGACTCCTTAACGATGATGAGACTATTTTCTAGATTGTATAGAATCAAAAGTATGATTCAATTCCTACTCAATTGACCTCATTAAAAAGTAGCAGGTGCTTCAAAGATGACTTCGAGGCCCGGCACTGTGAGGTATTCCACTCACGTTTCCATAGCTTCTCTGTTCAAAATCAGCAGACTATGTCGCTTCTAGAGTATTCCCTCACGGCTCTACTCTCCTATTGAAAAGCACGTTAGACTATATACCATTCGTTTGCGGGAGCTAGCCTCCTTTGATTTGATTCTGTATTTCTATTATATGATTGCCCTGTCTATATTTTACGGAGAATACGGCTATAACCTTCAAAATGTCTGCGAGTAGTTAGTAAACTTCTGCAGTTTCTTGTATGCATACTCTGCACATCATGAGTGGCCAATGACGAGCAAGACTTTAGAGTTTCCAAATATAACATGTCGACAATTCCAAGTGAGACTGTGTGACATCGTATGCCCGACAAAACCAGAAGACTATATCATCGCGTTGATCACATGATATCTCCCGTCTGATATAATCTTTATACTAAAATCCATATTGAAGATCTGAGATTGAAAAGACTCAGTATACAGGATTCTTCTTATAACCTATGATACAGCAAAACTGCGATGATGTGATGCAATATGCTCTGACAATACGACTTGATGCGACGGTCATTTCGAATCCGTAAAGCGAGTGCTCTTCAAACTTCCCGGATAGAAAATAAAGGCGTTCCCGCGAAAACTGAAGACACAGAAAATTGTTCTCATTAGTCCGATCTACCACACTCTCTAGACAGGTAGACATAATTCAATTCTATCATGAAATGATCGTCATCAAAATAACGCCCACTCATATCCTATATACAAGAACCCCTCCTCACAATCACCTTCACATCATCCCTTCTCCCTTTTGTCACCCTGATTCTGAAAACGCTTTCCCCAAGTTTCCATCCTTATGTCCAAAATTCTCTAATCCCAGACCCAAATCCTCAAAATGTGCAAAAGCCTAATCGTCGATTTCGACTGTTCCCACTACGAGCAGCGACTCCGTCTCTATTCGCACCAACATTGCACCCAGTGTTTTCCAGAAAATTGTCTCTATTTTGGACGTGTAGATAGGATGGCGAGGAGGAGGTATGTGAGGTGTGTGGTGGGAAGAAGGAGAAGGAGAATGTTGAGGATAGGGAGGAGAGGTGGAGGGTGGTGTGTGGGTACGTGATGGAGGTGATGATGGGGGGAAGGCAGGTAGGTGATACGATGAGTAGATACTAGATAGTGTTTAGCATAGGGTTGGGGGTACTGTGATAAGCATCACGGCTTTTTTCTTCTTCAAAATGAATATATGAGCCGGGTTATATGGAAATACGAATACCGATACAGATCTAGGTATACGAAAATGATAATTCTTAAATGGAATACAAAATTTAAAGATTGAATGAATGTGACTTGAAGTGGATTCAACCCTTCAATGGTGTTCAAAACAAAGTTTTGTCCACTCACCTCTCAACTCAACAAAGAGAAGTCTTGTTACTGCCTCCTTACTAATATCTGGTAGCACGAGCTCGCTTAAAATATCCCCTTCGATCACGACTTCATTCGACGAGAAATGAATCGAGAATCGATTACCTATTCTCGTTTCTCGAGGAAAATCGAAGGATACATGTGGACATCATTTTTAGTTACAGGTTCCAGTATTTTTGTACAAATAAAGAAAAGTTAGTTGAACACTCGAAATCGAACGTGAGTATACAGATACCCAGATGATATAAGAAATTCGAGGGTGTTCAGTATCGACACTATCTCATCCCGTTTAGTCTCATCTGAATTTCATACTTGAACTCTGAACTTAACTCCCAAACCAGTTTTATTAGTAAATTCACGCACTCGACCTCTTTCCCCCTCCGGAACCATCTTCCCTAACCCTCAATTCTCTCACTATATATACAATCTCGTTAATACTATCGCGTTTCCCCTATTTCTCTTCAGAGTAGTCCTCAGGACTTATGCACTAGAATGTTCGATATTCTCTACATCACCATTGCATCCCATTTAATCCATGCTCAACACCCAAATATCACACCACGTTTACTTTCCTTCCAACTCCAAATTTCGATTCCCACTACAAACTCAACTTCAGATAATACCCATCCCACACTTATCAGACATCCAAATAACTAATTTTCTCTAAAGAGTCTTCCATCCTATCCTATTCAATCCTATTCTATCACCTCTCATCATCTCATCATCTCATCACCTCATCCTCTCTCCCACCTTCCTATCAAAAGATGATATTCACATCCGAAATTACTAACCCAAGTATTCAAAATCATGAATACCATAAATACCATAAACAAACAGCGAAGCCCAACCCTAACCATCAACCACCTCCCCGAATCAACACACATCCCTCCCCTACATCTTTCTCCCACTCCCCTACCACAGAAATTAAACCAAAGCAACCGAGAAAGAAAATCATCTTCTAATCCATTTCAACCCCTCGACCCCCTCCTCCACTCCATCGAAATACCATCTTCCTAACCTCCAAACCAAATCTCCGAACAACATATATACCCCCTGCCCACACACTCACCCCACCACCTCACCACCTCCAAGCCCCCTCCCGAAAAATATCATATCATCTCATATCCCGCCGCAAACTTTCTGTCTTACTTCTCCTACTTCCTTCTCCTATTTCCTTCTCCTATTTCCTTTTTTATAAAAAAAAAGAATTCCCCAACAACAAACCCCTCCTCTCATACCAATTCATCCTTCACCTTCACCTTTCTCTCTCCACCCTCATTCTTATCCTATTCTATCTTCCCTCCTCACTCCTCCCTCCTCCCTCCCAATTCGCTTCCACCCCTCCTCATCCTTCCCCTTTCCCTCCCCTCCCCTCAAGCCCCTCAAACCCACCTGAGTTCCCTTCACCCCTCCCTCACCCCCCCCAAAACCCCTCAAACCACTGCATGCATAAACCACCACACCCCATCCATCCTATCTATGCCTAGGATTATAAATTCCATAATTCACCTTAAAATTAGGAGAGAGAGATACCAGCACCTCATCATAATATAACTTCCAAAACATGGGTAATCTACATGTTCACCTTACCTTACCTTGCCTTACCTACTACTCTACATGACATCGTATCATTCTACTCTACTCTACTCCTATCTACTCATCGTTCATGTACTGATATAAAGAGAAAACAAAACATGGAAACATCAGATACGAAGTAGAGATGAGAGGATATTACTTTCCTCACTGCAAAAGATGTTATCTGAATATATATCTGTTATGCAGATGTATAAAAGTAAGCTGTGCAATACATGAAACGCTAAGAAATCAGATTTACATCGCAAGATTAAAATTCATCTTCATTATCACAAGAAGCAAGTCAATTAGAACAAAATTATGATGATCGGGTATCTTATTATCCGTTTTATCTAATACCCATCCCATGCATCTCTCCACCCAACTATCCAGCCATGCTCCCAACCCCATGCACTTCTTTCACACCCCCACCACATCCACCAATCCATGGAATAATGGAATCAACGAGATGATTTCCATTACCATTGCGGAACGCAAGTAAGCAAAGCAGCCATTCTTATTCTGATCTGATCTTGGGTATCTCCATCCAACCATGCCCGCAGCCCCTATCCTAGCAAACAAAAACCACCCCGAAAATAAAGACTTCCTCAACCAAATTCTCATCCACCGATCTCTATTAAGATATAATGGAAAGCATCTCATGCTTCCATTACTATAGATTCCAATAGAAACTTATCCACGTCCACCCATTACTGAAGCATGACTTCTATTAGAAAGCATGCATGCAAGTAATGAATGCATCCATTATCTTCCTCGAACCCCAAACTCTTATTCAATTGTGACCCGATTTGACCCGAATGTGGTGTGCAAGAAGGGTATGAAGAGAACTAAAAACTTCCTGCAGAAACAAAGAAAATATCCACGCCTCAGAATACCAACTCCATTCCTTCCTATTTTTTTCTTCTCAAATCACGTTTTCTCCCTCTTCAATTACTATCAAAAGGAAGACTGCGCTCCGAAAAGAAACAAAAGAAAGAAGGAAAATTTTGGTTTGCTGAAGAGCTGTGTGTGTGTAGTAATTGTGTGGTGTAAATAAAAAACGCTAGAACAACAAGATGATTTTGAAGAGAAAGTAAAAATCGACGATTCGCTAATGCCAGATATTTTTCGATGGAAAAAAAATAGGTCGATGAAACGCGCTGATGCCGAACACAGAAACGATGAAGTCCGCAAAAATTGGGCTTGTGATCGAATGCTGATGGAATGACCGATAGATTGGGCCAATCAATACAAATTGTGGTACATGTGAAGGTGTTGTGTGGTATGATGTCCGAGATCAAGACGTAGATGATGCAAGGAGAGAGGGAAATTCGAACAAATTCAGGAAATTTCAATTATTGCATGACAATATCTTGTTGATATGGTTGTTGCTGATATTGTTGTTGTTGGTTATATTGCATCTGAGTTTGAGGAGTTGGAGTGATCGGACATCTAGGTGCTGAAGTTTGATACGGTTTAATTTCATTTCCATTCCCTGGACCAAAATATTCTCCTTCTGGGGTGATTGGTGGCGTGAGGTAACCGTTGATGACATGTTGTCCATACACCTTTTGTGGTGTGCTATACACATCGTGTTGTTGCATTGGCTTCTGGTTAGTGGTTGGTTCAGCAGGTGGAGTTGGTGGGGTGACATGGCATTGGCTCATAGCTGCTTGTTGGAGAAGGAATCGTCGAAGGACTTCAGAAACTCTAGACAAGTGTGGAGCAG